CCTTCCCCGCCCCCGCCTCCTCCATCGTCGTCGTCGGCCATATCAATGTCCGCAGCCGCCGGTGTGTCTGACGCGAAGAAATCGTCGTCGTCGCTGGACGTGCTGTTGAACAGGAAGTCTCCCTCGTCCCAACGCACGCGAGCCTTGCAAATGAAATCATCCGCCCGCTGTCGTCGTGTCCGCGCCCCTGCACGCACGTCGCCGCGTGTCGCTCCTCCGGCCACTGCTCATCCACGACCTCCGGCCCTGCGTCGGCGCCTGTCGGACTCCACCACCCGACGCTCGACTCCCATGCGGGAAACGGCGCACATCCTCTCTCTGGCGTGGGTCAACTCCTCCTCAGTCACCATCACCCGTGCTCCACTGCCTCTGACGAGCTGATGATCCACGGGGACCTCGTCCTCCACGGCCTGCCAATAATGCAACCACTTCCCGAAGATGTCGGACCTCTCACCAGTTCCATCCTCATGCAACGCAGGTCTATCGAGCAGCCTGAGGTTCCAGTGGCACCTGACAAGCTTCTCAGCCCGAGAGACCTCCAACCTGTTCCGAGACTTTGAATGAATGAAGCTCCAGCGAGACCAGGCTCTCTCGCACGGTGACGCTGTCGCCCAAATGCGGAGGATCCTGCCGGCGAACACGGCCGTGTGAGGAAACTTCGCACTCTTCGACGACCAAAAACTGGCAGGATGGTCAAAGGTATCCACCGCCCGCCGCATGGTGACGTCATCGAAAGGCGGCTCCCCTGTGTGGAACTTGCCAACGCCTCGACGGACCTCCCGGTGCTGCGGCGATCCCTTCGGGTAGCCAAACTGGACAAGGGCCTCGACCAACGCCTGCTGCACCTCATCATCGTCAATAAGCGTTGGGTCCCGGAACTCGGGATCCAACAACATGGCTGTTGTGTGGGCAGGGGTCCGGAACATGGTGCGTCGCCTGGCAAACACCTCCAGAATAGCATCCTGCTGTTCCCGATCGATGTCCTTGCAAGCGGACAAACAAGATGCAATCATTACCTCATAACGGCGCAAAATCTTGCTGATCAGGCGCGTGTCGCTGTCCACCAACCTCAACATGTCTATGATTGGCTGCAACATGTTATACAGAGCTATCAGATCCTCCCACCACGGAGGAGACCCGATGCACGCAGTAACCTCCGTAGCGTCCTTGCGGATCTTATTGGTGGACCAAACCATCTCACGCCAGCGTTTGTCGCCTATAACCTTCGTCAGCTCTCCCCGCAGGTCCACCAGCCTCTCCATCATGATGACGTTCGTTCCAAAACGCGTCTCTGTCGGTAGCAAAAGAGTCTTCTTCGAGTGCCCCTCCAGAATCTCTCGCGCGTGGCCATGGCGCTTAAAGAACCTCGTCACCAGCCTCGCCTGAGCTATGTGGGAAGCCACCCAATCAATCCCGCCGATGTCCTCGAGAATGAGGTCCATGACATGGGCGACGCACGGAATCCAGAAGATGTGTTTGACGCTCTCATCCTTCTGGAAAACGTCCATCGCCGCAACATTCACCCTGCGGAGTCCGTCACGAACGCTGTGATGTCGCTCAAGTTCACGTCCAGGGACTTCACCCTGTTCAACCACGCGGTCGCGAGCGCATGGGCATCCTTCTTGCCGCGCATGACGTTAGTGGCCACGTACGCTACCATTGTCTCTGTCCCGACAAGGTAGTTTCACAATGTCTGACCCCTGATGTTGGTCCAACCATCCGTCATGATTAAGCAACCATGTTGTCTCGACGTGTCGAGAACAGGGTGAACACACTTCTCGACCTCGGCATCCAGCTCGTCCAAGAGGGTCGTGCGCAGCATGTGGTAGGTGGGGAGTTTAGGAGTGGGCGCCCCGGGAATCCCCGGCGGGATGATCATCGTGAACATGCGCTTGAAGCTTTCGAGCTTCGCACAGTTGAACGGCATCCCGCTCTCGATGAGGAACCTCATGATCTGCAAATGTCACACGCGCTCCAAAGGGTCCGAATAATACGACGTCACGGCCTGCTGGCGATAAGTCCCCCGGCCTCGTCCCGTCGTGGTTCGGCCACAGAGGACCCCGGCATCCAACAACCCACCAGGACTCGCGGGTGCCGCACTCTGGGCGACTGCAATGTCGCGCATGCGGTACAAAGGATCTAATGATCCGGTGAGCACAGGCGGAGCAGTGGCAGTCGTTGTCCGAATCGGGGTCGGCGCCGAATCGGCCAGCAGAGGGAGGACCTCCTCAGCAGGCACCCCGGGCACTGCCTGTCCCCCGACTCGGGAAGGGGGAGCAGGATGTACAGCATCTTAAGCCACGTGCGTGGGACCTGGTCTGTCCATCACACCAACATGGCAGACAACATGATCCCGTGCCGCTCTCGACGGCGGAGGTGGCAGCCAAGGGTGCTCCGACGAACGACGGGCAGGTGCGGCGGGTGCCACAACACTAGTAGCCCGTGCGGCAGGTGACTGTCTGGCAGCGGTGAACACAGGGGCGAGTCCGGCCGAAGAGCCCGCATCCCTCCCCCACCTGCGACTGTCGACGAAAGCACGCGTGCTTTCCTCGTCAAATGCCGCAACGCCTCCACCCTCCCTAACAGATGGGGGCTCGTTGGCCGGCAATGACCRACCAACATGCTCATGCCGAGCACCCGGTGTCCCGGCTACCGTAGGATGTGGCCGAGGTGGTGGACATGCCTTCGCCGGCAGCGGAGCTGTGCCCCCGTCAGTTGGAGCCACAAGACCAAGCAATGGCGACGCACAAGAGGGGGCGGTCGTGGAAACGGGAGGCGGGACCGAGTCCTCGGGGTATCGCAACGGTGGCCACTAGAACCTTGGATGACCCGAATCTAAGCTCTGCAATGACTCGATGGCCGAAACGAACTCCTTCGGACATCTGGTTATGTCCTTCGCCCCAGATGGCATACCACACCGCAGGAGTGGCCGCCTCGCATCGGAACTTCTCGCTCTTCGAGAAGTGTTCCCTGGTAGCTTTGGCGCCCCCGCAAATAGAACGACCGCACAACCTGCACAGGCAACGACGACCAAGCTTCCTACCCGCCGCCGTGGAGCCATCCAAATAACGACCTCTCGCGACGAAATGCCACACTAGATCGTCTCTCTTCCCGTCGACCTTCGCATCAACCTTGAAAGGCGACTCGAACGCCTTCGTGTTATGACCTTGCCTGGGGCCCGTGGAAGGGTCCGCCGGCGCCGGACCCTTGCCGCGGTCCTGCGACATGACGAAGGCGCGGAGCTTCGACGAGAGAAGACGACGGTTCGGGGAACTGAAGAGAATGCGAAACCGCGGAACACACCACTTAGCAAGCGAAGCGAAAATATTGAACGAAAAAAAAAAACACAAACAAACAACAAAAAAAACAATCAAAATAAAGAAGAAAGCTATGGAGCCACATATCATCATCATCATCGTCATCGTCATCCTCATCATCATCATCATCATCATCACCATCATCGTCATCATCATCATCATCATCATCGCTATCATCACCAACGATTCATCATCATCAGGCTGACATCAGCATCAACTTCAGCAATAATATTTAAATTCAAATGCAAGGAACATTAGTGTGAACGAAGAACACCGACGTCTAGCCAGCAACAGAAACCCACCTTCTAACCAACACCGAAAGATACGACAGCACAACACTCCAGGTTAGACAGGGTCACATATATAGGACGGATATATTAAGCTCAGGAAAAGCTCAGACCTGGGACAAGAAAAAAAGTATAGGGGAGCAAGATAGCGACCAAGACAGCAAGCATCACATTATGGGGGGGAGAGAAATAGATAGACCATAGAATTTTCACTCAAGGGTATTTCATAAGACATCCAAGGACAGAGGTGGACACGACACAAGCAAGAGCCCAAGTAACAACTCCAGCAAAAGGCCAGTCTAACGGCCTGCAGTGACTGCTCGTAAATGCTGCCCTCCCGGTAATTCAAGGCTTACACACTAGACGGAAAACCACAGATCCTGACAACTAGGAGTTACGCACAGTTTGCTCCGAAGACGCAGTAGAAGATATAGTGCACCCTTTAATGCAGAGTAAAAAAGGGTGACGCTATAGATCATATGGAAGGAAAGATGCAGCAGGACGATTGAAAGAGTGGCCAATTCACGCGAGAAGGTTTGGTCCGAGACAAAAACGATGATACAAACTGAAATCCGTCGCAAATGCTGGAGGATCACACAGTCATGGACAGAGGATGAGAACCAACAAAAGAAGGCGAGACTGAGTTTCAGCAAAACGAGGCTGGTAAATGGCGAAGCGGCGGACCTGAGAGAAGACCGCATCTGTTGGAAAGACTGACACGACTCAAATCCAGGAAAGGGCTACCAGCAACAAACAACGGTGGGCGGGTAAGACACATGCTGACCAAACTACCACAAAGGAGACCAATGGCCGCAGCAACGGAGAGACTTTAAGAAATGCTAGAAGGAATGAAAGCGGTTCAGAGAGGAATGAAAGCGGTTCACGAAATACTGAAGGAAGTTGGACACAGGCACCGTGAGTTGAAAGGCTAAGTTGCTTAAAGGGACTTTAAGAAATGCTAGAAAGGATCTAGAGTGTGTGTTTCTGGAGAATAAAAATTATACTTGAGGGTTTAGGGTTTAAGGTTCGGACAAAATTAGGGCTAACAAAATTCAGAATAGCAGAGTTTTAAGGCGGTTCACATGTGAAAATTACAGTTTAGACAAAAGAAGGAAAGCCCTAGTTAGTACTTCTACCACCTAAATCCAAGTGGTAGTGGATCTACGGTTTTAGGGGTGTAGTAACATTAGATATTGGTGCAATACAGAGAGGGTTTAGGGTTTAGATATTGTAGTCATCTTGGGGTTAGGGTCTCAATATGGAACAGGAAAGGCCAAGTTAGCAGTTCTAGTACTTAAAGCCAAGCCGACAGCCAAGCAGCTGAGAGGAAAAAGCTAACCAACGCAAACGGGATACAATTAACAAGCAGCAACAAGCTAACCAACGCAAACGGGATACAATTAACAAGCAGCAACAAGCTAACCAA